ACACACAGTGTTACACACAGACAGACACACACAGACACACGGGTGTGTTACACACACACACAGACACACGGGTGTGTTACACACAGACAGACACACACAGACACACGGGTGTGTTACACACACACACAGACACACGGGTGTGTTACACACACACACAGACACAAGGGTGTGATACACACAGACAGACACACAGACACACGGGTGTGTTACACACACACACAGACACAAGGGTGTGTTACACACAGACAGACACAAGGGTGTGTTACACACAGACAGACACACAGACACACGGGTGTTACACACAGACAGACACATAGGTGTGTTACACACAGACACGTGGGTGTGTTACACACAAACACACACATACAAACGCACAGGTGTGTAAACACACACACACACACACACATGCACACACAGGTGCACTCCCACCTGGCACAGCTGTCACCCAACCCCGCACGAGGGGGATCTGGCTGGGCACTCTGGGGTCCCAGCATGGACTGCTGACCCCTCAACCCCACAGTAGCCCAGGGGACCCCCAGTGACATCCCCAGGGTGCCCATCCAGAGGTACTGGTCTCCAGGACACACCCCCCACTCCATGGCAGGCACCCACCTAGTCCCCACTGCCAGCCCCTCCCATCACAGGGACCCCCTGAGAAACCCCTACCCCTCAACTCTCCCGGGCCCCTCCAGCGCCATGACCCTCCTGGCTGCCCCCAAGGTTTTCTGGAGGATGGGATCCTGGTGCAGGACATCAGCCGGACGCGGCGGCGCTACCTGTGCTCCTGGTCCTTCCCCTGGGACGTGGCAGCTGTGCTGCCCACCGAGCTGCTCTGCCTGCTCCCAGGGGTCCCGGGGGTCCCAGGGGTGCCGGCAGCACGTGCCAACCGCTGCCTGCGGGCACCACGGCTCTTCGAGGCCTTCGACCAGTGTGAGACACGCACAGGGTGGCCCAACACCTTCCGCGTGGCCAAGCTGATGATGTACCTGGTGCTAGGCATCCACTGGCACGGCTGCCTCTACTTTGCGCTATCGGCGCGGCTGGGGCTGGGCACCGACCCCTGGGTTTGCCCTGCCTTCGCGCGCCCGCTGCGCCGATACCTGCACAGCTTCTACTTCTCCACGCTGGTCCTGGCCATGGTGGGTGACACGCCGGCGCCGCAGCGCGAGGAGGAGTTCCTCTTCACCATTGCCGGTTTCCTGCTGGCTGTGCTGGGCTTCGCCACCATCACCGGCAGCATCAGCGCCGTCATCGCCAACCTCAGCGCGGCCGACGCCACCTTCTACCCCGACACGGGGCCGGTGCGGCGGTACCTGTGGGCGCGGGGCGTGGGCGGGCAGCTGGCGAGGCGCGTGGCGCGCTGGCACCAGCACCTGCGCATGCAGCGCAAGCTGCCAGTGGAGCGGGCGGTGCTGCAGCACCTGCCAAGGGGGCTGCGGGCCGAGGTGGCGGCCAGCGTGCACCTGCCGGCCCTGCGGCGCGTGGGGCTGTTCCATGGCTGGGGGCACGAGGTGCTGCGCCAGCTGGTGCTGCGCCTGCGCCCGCAGGTCTTCGGCCCCGGCGAGTTCGTGTGCCGGCGCGGTGACGTGGGCCACGAGATGTACTTCATCCGCGAGGGCCGGCTGGCCGTGGTGGCCGAGGACGGCGTCACGCAGCTGGCCGTGCTGGGCGAGGGGCTCTACTTCGGGGAGATCAGCCTCATCAACATCAAGGGTGAGCCCCACACCTCACACCAACGCCGGCCCACGGCCCCCCTGGCTCATGGCCCCCACCCTGCAGGGAACACGGCGGGGAACAGGCGCACGGCCAACATCCTGAGCATCGGCTACTCGGACCTGTTCTGCCTGGGCAAGGAGGACCTGGCCGAGGTGCTGGCTGAGTTCCCCCACGCCCGCACCGCCATGGAGGCCAAGGGCCGGGAGCTACTGCTGGGCATGGGTCGGCTGGACACAGGTGCTGAGGCAGCAGCAGCGGCAGCCGAGGCCGAGGCTGAGCGGCAGCTGCAGGGGCTGGAGGTGGCCCTGGAGGGGCTGCAGACACGGGCGGCTCGGCTGCTGGCACAGCTGGAGGCCAGTGCCCTGCGCATGGCCCTGCGCATCCAGCGCCTCGAGGGGCAGCTGCACCTGAGGCAGCAGCAGGACGAGGCAGCAGGGATGGCTGGGGCAGCAGGAATGGCCACACCGCAGTGGCCAGCCAGGACACGGGGTCCTGCTGTAGGACAGGGACCCCCCAGGACACGGAGTCCAACCGAGACGCAGGGTCCCCTCAGGGCCCGTGATCCTGTCGGTGACTGGGATCCCTTCAAGGTGCAGGTTGCCCCCAAGGCACAGGGTCCTGTCCAGGGACCAAGTCCTGCTGGAGGATGGGGTCCCGCTGGGGTGCAGGGTCCCTCCAAGGCACAGAGTCCTCTTGGGGATCGGGGTCTGCCCAGGGCACAGGGTCCTCCAATGGCAGAGGGTACCCCAATAGCACAGGGTCGCAGTGGCACACAAGGTCCCCCCAGGTCACAGGGTACTCCCAGGACACAGGGTTCCACTGGGGCACAGAGTCCCAGTGGGGTGCAGGGTCACAGGGGGGCACAAGCTCCCCGCAGGGCACAGGTTCCCCCCGGGGGCCAGGTTCCCCCTAAAGCACGGGGTCCTTCCATAGCACAGGGACACCCTGGGGGAGGGGGTCCCCATAGGATGCAGGATACCCCCATGGCACAGGGTCCCTCTTGGTCACGGGGTTCCAGACGAGTGCAGGAACTCCCCGGGGCTCGAGGTCCTGCGAGGGGTCGGGGTGCAGGGGGACCAGTCCCGCGGCGCTGAGGGGTCACCTGAGGGGGGGGTACAGCAGCGAGACACCGACAGCTGCTGTCGCTGCGGAACGGGGGCGGGGACCGGGACCGGGACGGGGAAGGGGCCGGGAAGGGAACGGGTCGAGGTCGGGGAGCGGTGGGATCTGGGCTGGGAACGAGCCGGTACCGGAGCCGGAAGCAGCTCGGGACCCCCGGCCCGCCGGGCCGTCCCGGGGTCACTCGCGGGGACACGGTGACAGTCCCACAGTGACAGACACCGCGGTGACGGCCGCCGCCGCCGCCCGGCGCCGCAGGAGCGCTCCCGGCGAGCCCCGTGCGAACCCCCCGACCCGCCGGGGCTCCGCCTGCATCCCGGTACTCCCCGAGCCCCGCTTACGGACCCTCCGTGGCCCCCGCCGTCCCCCGGGTTCCCCCGTTCCCGACTCCCCCGCGTTCCCTTCGCACCCCCGGGCTCCCCCCGCCGCCGCCGCCCCCCGCCCCCGGCCCCGGCCCGCCCCGCGCCGGGCGCCGCCCCCGCTCATCCACCGGCGGCTCCGAGCGGAGCGGAGCGGAGCCTCGTCCCTCCCGGAGCCTGCCGGTGCCTCCCGGTGCCTCCTGGTGCCTGATCCCTCCCGGTGCCTCCTGCCGGGGGGGGGGGGCGCGGGGGGCCCCACCATGGATCCCCGGTTCCCCAACGAGTCGCTGCAGGAGCTGCTCTGCCGCGCCGGGAACGGCACCGGGAACGGCACTGGGAACGGCACCGGCACCGGGACTAACAGCTCCGCCTGCGACCTCCTCCGCAGGGGCCTCCGCGGGCCCCTGGCACCCAGAGGTGAGATGGGGGGAGGGCGGGAGGGACCCCCCGCGCCCGGCCCTGCACCCCCAGGCACCCCGCTTCGTCCCGCCGTGCCGCCACGGTGCCCCTCGCCCTGCACCCCGGTGCCCCCGGTCCTTGCCCGGTGCTGCCCCCGGTCCCCGCCGTGTCCCCCATCACATTCCGCATCCCGGTCCCTGCACCCCGGCCGGAGGCTCGGCGGCCCCGGCACTGCCCGGTGGTCCCGCTGGGGATCCCGGAGGGGACACACCGGGCTGTACCGGGGCAGCAGGAAGGCGGAGGGGACCCCAACAGGGGTGGCTCAGCCACCACCCGTCCCGTACCCCGGCCCCACTGACGAGGCGGGGACCCCCAACCCCTCCCCTCTGACCAGCCGGGACCCCCAATCCCAACCCACCAACGGGGCTGGGACCTCCCAGTCCCATTCCCCGACTGGAACCCCCCAGCGCCACGGTCAAGGCTGGGGCTCTCATCACCCCCCCGCCCAGCCGGGCCCCGCCAGCTCCCGCTGTCACTCGGCTCCCGGGTCTAGACGTCCCCGGTCACGTCCCTGCGCTGCCGACGGACCGGAAGCCCAGCTCCGGGGGAGGGTGGGCAGGATGGGGGCACCCGTGTGGCTCAGGGCCCCCCAGCCTCACGGAGCAGAGCCGGGGGTCAGCGGGAGCACCCCGATCCCACGGCGACTGCCACACGGGGAGAGCCGGGATGCTCAGCTGCCGGATCCCCACCAAGGCACCCGGTCACGCTGGAGCCCCAGTGCCCCGGAGCCCGGACCTGTGCCGGGGTGCCTCCGGGGTGCCCTGGGAGTGTCTTTGAGGTGCCACTGGGGTGCCTGGTGCCTGCTCTGCACTAAGCCCCGTGGAGCCAGCCAGAGCCCCAGTGCCTGGACCTGTCCTGGGGTGGCTTCGGAGAGCCTCTGGAGTGCCACCGGGGTAGTCTTAGGGTGCCTGCGGGGGTGCTCTCGTGGTGCCTCTGGGGTGCCCCAGGGTCCCCAACGCGGCTGCCCGCAGAGCTGGACGTGGCGGTGCGCGTGGTGCTGTACGCGCTGATCTTCATGCTGAGCGTCGGGGGCAACACGCTGGTGGTGGCCGTGCTGGCACTGAACCGGCGGCTGCGCACCGTCACCAACTGCTTCCTGCTGTCCCTGGCGCTGAGCGACCTGCTCCTGGCGCTGTGCTGCATGCCCTTCACCCTGCTGCCCAGCCTCATGGGCGCCTTCGTCTTCGGCGATGCCGTCTGCAAGCTCGTCGCCTACCTCATGGGTACGGGGGGATTGTCCTGCCTCATGGGTATGGGGGGATTGTCCTGCCTCGTGGGTATGAAGGGATTGTCCTGCCTCGTGGCTACAGGGGGGGATTGTCCTGCCTCGTGGCTACAGGGGGGGATTGTCCTGCCTCATGGGTACGGGGGGGATTGTCCTGCCTCATGGGTATGGGGAAGGGATTGTCCTGCCTCATGGGTATGAGGAGGGGGATTGTCCTGCCTCATGAGTATGGGGGGATTGTCTTGCCTCATGAGTATGGGGGGATTGTCCTGCCTCATGGGTACGAGGGAGGGATTGCCCTGCCTCATGGGTACGAGGAGGGGGATTGTCCTGCATGGGTACGTGGGATACAGGGTGGGGTTCTCATCACCTACCTCATGGGTACATGGGGTGCACTGGGGGGCTGCGGGGGGTCACGGGGGGCTGTAGGATCACGCCACACCCACTGACCCCCCCCCACTGCCCTCAGGGGTGTCAGTGGCCGTGTCCACCTTCAGCCTGGTGGCCATCGCCCTCGAGCGCTACAGTGCCATCTGCAACCCCCTGCAGTCGCGCGCCTGGCAGACGCGGTCCCACGCCTGCCGCGTCATCGCGGGCACCTGGGCGCTGGCGGCGCTGCTGATGCTGCCCTACGCCGTGTACAGCACCACGCGCCCCACTGCCCCCCGCGCCCCCCGCCCGCCCCCCGCGCAGTGCACGCACCACTGGCCCAGCGAGCGCGTCCGGCAGGCCTGGTGAGTCCCAGGGGGGCACGGGGGGCATGGGGGACAAGGGGACACTGAGTGACAGAGGCCACCTGTCCCAGGTACGTCCTGCTGCTCCTCATCCTCTTCTTCATCCCGGGCGTGGTGATGATGGTGGCGTATGGGCTCATCTCCCGCGAGCTCTACCGCGGCATCCGCTTCGAGCTGCACGTCAAGGGGGAGGCGGCAGGTGAGGGGATGGGGGAGGGTGACGCTGGGGGTGACCCTGCCCCAGAATGAGAGGGAGGGTAGAGCCCCCCCCCATCTCCCCATAGCGGGGGATTCCCCGGGGACATCCCCTTTCCCAGGGACCTCCTTGTAGGATGTTCCCACAGCCTTGGGGTGCAGTGTGTCCCCGTGATGCCGTAGACGTGTCTGTGTCCCCTGCACCCCATCCCACTGCCCAGAGGTGCTGGGGTGCAGCATGTCCCCCCAGTGCCACCTGACCGTGCTCCCTCGCCCCACAGCCCAGCGTGGTGCCGGGGGGGACGCGGTGCCCAGCTGTGACGAGGGGGACGGGTGCTACCTGCAGCTGTCGCGCCCGGGCGCGGCGCTGGAGCTGCGGGCGCTGGGGGCGGGCGCGCAGCAGGACCGGGCACGTGTCAACAGCTCGGGGGCCCAGCTGGCAGCCAAGCGGCGCGTGATCCGCATGTTGGTGGTCATCGTGGCCATGTTCTTCCTCTGCTGGCTGCCCATCTTCGCCGCCAACACCTGGCGCGCCTTCGCCCCGCGGGCGGCCCAGCGGGCGCTCTCGGGGACCCCCATTGCCTTCATCCACCTGCTGTCCTACACCTCGGCCTGCACCAACCCCCTCATCTACTGCTTCATGAACCGCCGCTTCCGCAAGGCCTTCGGGGCCACCTGTGCGGGCTGGGGGTGCCGCCGCACCTGCCCCCGACGCCCCCCCAACGACGAGCCCCCCATGGCCAGTGCCTCGCTCTCCAAGTTCAGCTACACCACCGTCAGCAGCCTGGGCCCCCCCTGAGCCAGATCCCTGAGCTGGACCCCTGAGCTGGACCCCCTTGAGCACCCCAACACGAGTGCCTGGGGCCCCCTTGAGCCCCTACCCCATGAGCCCAGTCCCCCTCAAGCCCCCCATGGCCAGAGCCTCACTCTCCAATAATTCAGCTACACCACTGTCAGCAGCCTGGCCCCCCCTGAGCTGAGACCTGCCAGTTGGACCCCCTTGAGCCCCCCCACACCAGTGCCTGGGGCCTCCCCGAACCCAGCCCCCCTGAGCTGGACCCCGCCAGCCGGACCCCCTCGAGCCAGACCCCCACTTTGCCATCCCCGGGTGCTGCCAGCACCCTCTGTGCCCCCCCGCTGCCTCCCAGCTCAGGGCACCCCGAGTCCCCAGCCCCCCTCCCTTCCGTGACCCCCTCACCCACCAGCCCCACTCAGCCCCCCGCCCCCAGTCCTCGTCTGGGTGGGGGCGAAGGGCGAGGCAGGGGAACGCTCGGGGCTGGGCAGGCTGCAAGCGGGGGGAAGTCAAGGCGCCCACAGCCCGGGGTCCCCCTGCGCCGCTCCCCGGCTCCAGTCACAATAAACTTGTCCTGTGCCTACCCGCGACAGCTGTGCCACCGGTGCCCACCCGCGACAGCTGTGCTCCCACCACGCCTGCCCGGCCGCCGCGGAGGCTCCGCGGGGCAGCCCCGGGCGGGACGGGGAGTCGGCACCGCGCAGGGCTCGGGGGGCGGCGGGATGGGACCCTCCGCTGCGGGGACCCCCGAGCCTGGCGGCGGCGGGAGCAGCCGCGGGGGACTGGGAGCCTCGGGTCCGGTGTGACCCCGCCGCCCTCCGGGGGGTGACCCCACAGCCCCGATGTCCGCCCTTTACACCCCCGGCACGCCAGGGTGCCCCGGGACTCCATCTCCCGTCATGCCCCGCGCTCCAACACAGGCCCCGCCCCTCACAGTGCGTGTCTCCCCAGGTGGCCACGCCCCCTCCCCGTAACTCCGCCGGCTATTGGCCACGGCCACGCCCCCGTTGCTTTCGGCCGCCCCGCCTCTGCACAGGCCACGCCCCCCTCGCGACCCGGCCCCGCCTCTCGCTATGAATACCGGGCTGGCCCCGCCCCCGGCCCCGCCCCCTGTCC